AGGTCATCTGGCTAAGTGGTAGACGAATGAAGAATATCTGAAGATTTTTACCACGTGCCAAGCAGGTCCTACCACCTTCTATGAGGGACCAAATTCCCCTTACTCTTTCTCACATCCCTGGTACCTAGGACATAGCTGTGACACCCTGAGGGCAGTCAGCTCCATTAGGCACAGCTTTCAGCCCTGGCTCAAAACCAGTAAGTGTACTTGGGGGAAGAGGGATATGCTGAAACCCCAAAGGTGGAGCTTCACTGTGGATGAGGGGTTCAGAGCTAGAGGGGCTCAGGAATGGCCCAGGGGTTCTCAGCAGAGAACTTCCTTCCTAGGTGCACATTGCTCCTGATACATGACTGTCAGCTCAATGAAAAGGAGCCTGTCCTCTAGGTTCCTGCCAGGCCTGTGGTGGATGGCTGAGAAAGAGGTTCTTCTTCTGAGGAACGGAGGGAGCCTCCTGGAGGCTTCTTGCCCTGAAGGAGTCCCCCCTCATCTGGACTGCCTCTGAGCCTGACAGCTGCTCTCCCCGGCCTCTCTACTACCTCCTTCCCCGCCATGCTCTTGGCACCCAGGCCCAGCAGGCCTCAGCCACCCTTGTGGACTGTTGGCTCAGGAGCATGTCAGCTAGTTTAGGAGGCTTCCATCCCAGCAGCCCTGGCCCCCACCCCTTTGAAGGGGATCAGGTTCCCCCACAAACATAATTGAACAAAAATATGAGAGAGAAAAGGTCTTTGTTCTCCCATTTACAGCGTCAGAAAATATGTAACAAATTAGCCGTTTATGAGGTAAGAGACCAGCTCTGTGTGCAGGCGGTGTGGCCTCAGCAGGCACAAGGGGCCTTTGAGTCTCTACATGGAGGGGCACGGCGGCGGGAAGGGAGAGCTTGCAGGACTTCAGCGTAGGCACAGGAGGCCGGCAACCATCTAGGACTCTGGGAAGCTTGCAAAGGGAGACAGGGGGGCAGGCAGAGACAAGGAGGAGATCCTGAGCATGGGGAGAGAACAGCTGCTGCAGGCCAGTCTCTAACAGGGCCAGTGCACTTAGCAGCCAGCGGGCTACTAGGGTCTCAGTGGCTTCCTTACTGGCTGCTGTGGACCTTAGGAATGGGCAGGTGCCTCTGGTATTGCTGGTGATTTTGCTCCATACCAAGGAGGAATGCCACCTGAAGTATCAAATATTCAGTAAAGTAGAGGAGAGGGGGGAAGCATCAGGGAAAGATCCAGAGGCTCTTAGCAACATGGATGGCCATGCCTCTCCTCAGCATTGTCCTGGCTGTCATCTGTTTCACTTGGATGTCTAGAGCTATGCATGGCTTAATCCAGTCATAAGCATAAGCATCTTAGCTTGGTCCACTGGGGTTGTTTGGCCTGGTGACAATGCAGGCTAGCATTACACTCGGCATCTTTGGCCCCCTTATGATTTAGAGACTTCTCCTGCCTCCTCTCCCTCCTCCTCTTCATACTTTTCCTCTTTTTGTTATCTTCTTTCCCTTCAGTGTTTTTTTTTTTCAGACAGTCTCACTATGTCGCCTCAAATTCGTGATCTTTCTGCCTCAGTCACCCCCGTGATGGGTTATAGGTGTGTGCACCACACCGGGCTCTTGGTTTAGTTCTTGATTCTGTTAGATCCTGTGCTCTAAGGCCCACCTTTTTCATTTCCGTGCCCATGGTCAGGATTCTCCTTGCTGCCAGCCTGGCCACACATCATGGGAACACATGTTCAGACACCTCTTGCAATACATCCATGGAACTGCCTGTTCTCTTTGCTCACCACAGATCCCTGCTGAGCTCAGAGCTGGGTTCTGGCTGCGTACCATGGCCCTGAGCCTTTGAGAGGAGGTATTGGTGAAGATGGGTCCATGCCAGTCCAGTAAGAAACCTCTGTAAGAAGTGGGGTGCTGGGTTCCTGCCTGAATACCCCGAGTGTTTGGTCTGTAGTCACAAACACGTCGCTTTCCTGGATCTGACTTTATTTGTTTTGATTGGATCTTAATAGTTCTTTCAGGCTGAAGCTGAAGCTGCCTGGGATCCCGGGAGACTTGCTAAAACTTCAACTGCACCCAGCGTAGCAGAGTAACTTGAAATTTAATCAGTGCCCAGGGATGCCCGCCTCATTCTTTCCAGCGCTGGCTTCTGAGGTGGGCTCGGACACAGTGCTGTTCTCTGCAGTGCAGACCTGAGGGGAAATTTGCACAGGCCGTAACTGTGCCTGGCAACTTCTCCCGGAGCCACAGAACAAAACTCTGCCCCACTAGCCTTGACTTTCCCTATGTGGACCCCTTCCTGGACACTTCTGTCGCCACTTTTCTGCCATCCTTCTTCCTCCTCTTTAAACACTTCCCTCCCACATCACTGTGTGGCTTCCCGAAAAGAAAGCCTTCCATGATGGAGGAAGTGATTTTCATTCATAGACATATCTCCAGCCCTGGCACTGAAAACAGGCCGCATGTCTCATAAATGAATGAATGAATGAATGAATGAATGATACTCTTGGCATTTCATTTCACCACCATGCCTGGTCCTTTTCACGCAAGGCTGTACCTCAGTGGCAGGGCTCTGGCCTTTCAGAGTGTTAGGTCCTGCGCAGGAGCAAGATGGTGTTGAACATCAACCAGGCCAACTGTTCATTTTACCAAGTTCAGAGAGGAAAGGAGTAGCCCGAATCACACATACAAAGAATTCTGTTCAGACACTTCCTGCGATGATGTGTCTATGGACCTGTGGACCAGTCTGTTCCCCAGCTGGCTAGTGAGGACCCCAGGACAAGTATCTACAGGGAAGAAGCAGGAGCTCTCGGCAAGGCTGCTGCTTCTGGACTGCCCTTCCCCACTCTTTTCCTCCAGTCAGGCTAGCCTCCTTCCTCTACCATGTAGACCAGGGACCTCCCCTGCTGGTCTCAAGCCCTTCTCCTCTCTACATACTCTTGCCAAATCTTGTGAAACAATTAACATTTGTTTTTAAGACGTCAGCACTAAAACCCAAAAAAGGTAGCCCAGGTCACGCAGGTAATTGCAGGATTTGACCTGGAAGTGTTCTTTCTACCTTATCTCCTGAGTCTTTGGGCACTCCTCCCCTCAGCCTCCTCTGGGCCTGTGGGCAGGTGTCTGCCTTCCTTACTGTTTTCTTTCCCAAAGCCTCTCCCTAACCGCGCAAACTCTCAGCTCTGTACCGGAAGTTCCCTCTGGCGCTTCCAGTAGTGCTCTAGGGATAAGCAGGTAGCCTAGCAGGCAGTGACCAGCCAGGCAGTGACCACTGTTCTGCAGAAGGTTCTGTGCCATAGAGCCAGGAGGTGAGCCGAGACTCACACTAGTAATCCAGGGCCCTGGGTCGGCATTCACTTGCATAGCTAAATTCACCTCTTCCAAGGACTCACCTGCCTTTAAGAAAGCCTGAGCTATTCGGGACATGATGAGCCTGCAGGAACCTGTCGCAATAGCAGGGAGCAGGCTGGGGAAACGGGAATCAAAGGCCCCAGAGCTCAGGACATGAAGTTACCCCGGCAGTGCACCTTCCAGGCAGGCACTCAGAGGGCTGTGCCATATTTCTGCGCCCCAACAGTAGCCCATTACATCCTTGCCCTTACATGAAACAGGAGCCTGCCTGTCTACCTCAGTCTGGCCCATGGCTCTCCAGAACGCGTCCATACTCTGTAACTCTGGAAAGGGTGCAGAGACCTGTGGCCACAGATCTCGTCAGTCAGACCTTCTCTAGGCCACCCCAGCCCCCATCACCTCTTTCGCCCTCTCGAGGCTGTCATCACTTCTGCTCCAAAGCAGCGGATGCAGACATCCGAGGAGGCACACAGTCATCGGGCTGCAAGGAGGAGGCATTGCTGACTAACTCCCAGCCAACCAGAAAATGTCATTAACCCGACTGCCCACCCAAGCACTGCACAAGGCACGCGTGCCCTCTTGTAAATATCTCTCCCACCGTGCATGAGCACTCGGTCACGTGCGGACTCCAGAATTCTTCCTGAGCTCGTCCTTAGCCCCTGCTGGACGTGTCCAGGCAAGAACACCCTCACTGCCTTACACAATAGTAACTGTCCACACACACACACCTACAGGCTCGACCTGTCCACGGCATCACTCCGCTCAGTGTGCTCTTCCTCTCTCACACCTGTGTGAGCTGCCTTAGAGTACTAGAGCGCTCAGCCTTGGCCCTGGGCATCTGTGAACCCCAGAGGATAGTCAGGACTTGGCCTTTGGGTCCTGCGATGAGGGGCAGATACCTAGCTGTCTTAGACCAGAACAGGTCTCTCACAGTCCGTCACTCACTGGGCTGAGCTTCTTTGTCTCTGGGAGTGACAGAGTTAGGGTCATCTAGCACCCCACCTTCTTAAACTGTGGGTCACAACTCCATGCTGTGTTACATAACTAGATGTGGTATACGCGGCACGCGCGCACACACACACACACACACACACACACACACACACACACACACAGAGAGAGCTAATAGTAAAGGATTTCTGAACCTGCAATGACCAAACATTATTCCAAGAAATCAAATGTGAGGTTAATCTGAGGTATTTCTGGCCGGGTTGGCCTATGTCTCAACATGAGCATGCGCCGGCAGACTCAATTCTGAACACAAGACGTGCACCCTACACTGTACGTATCATGCCACGCAATGCTAGTGGATGCCACCTGAAACCCTTCTGTTCAGACCAAGATGCAGAGGGCTGCATGGGACGAACTGCAGAATGTTCGCTGTACACGCAGTTTTCTGTGCCTGTAGAGACACAGTAGGTTAATTATAGAAACAAAGCCGGTACATTTTTCTCCTGCCATCGTTCCTCAGCATGTAAGTATCATATTAACCTATCTTTGGATTCTATTGTGTTAGAATGTATGAATTTTTAAATTATTTACATTGCTGACTCGAGTTTCATTAAAAAAAAATCATTAAAGGCATTTTGGCTTGGGACTGAGACAGGATTTCCAACAGTTTCTGCAGTGACCCTAAGCACACTCTTGCCATTTTGTATTATGTATTTATGCACAGTTGCACTCTTGAATTGATGGTTATGAAACTGAAGTATCCATCAAACTCTGGGAAATGTTGAAGATGCTCTGTATCCAGCAGAACTGAATACTCAGCCAAGATTTAATTCGTTGTGTAAGAATAAACAAGCACGTCCACCTCATTGCTGTGCAGATGCGCATTCGTCTCTAGAAAACGGTAAGTTCTACATCCACCATAGGCTTGCTTTAAAGCAAATTCCTGGGGCTGGAGAGAAGGCTCACTGTTTAAGAATACTTGCTCTTGCAGAAGACCCCAGGTCCAATTCTCAGCACCCACATGGGGGCTCACAATCATCCATATGGCTCCTGTACCAGGGTGTCAGACACCCTCTTCTGGCCTCCGAGGACATCAGACACACAGCTGGTACACATAATACACATAGTCAAAACACACAGAAAATAAAACACATATTCTTCACGACTCAGTGTCAGTAAATGTCTAGCTTTGTGTGTCTATTTTATATAACCATATAGCATGGGTTGTGTAAAAATTTCTCAGTGTACATGTTCTATGAGTAGACAAACCTTGAAAAGACCTGCCTGAGCTAGAGGATTGACTATGGAGTTCAATCTGCCTTTGCTATTCACTGGCTTAGTCAGGGGCCTTGGACTTGGATGCTAGGCCTCTGTGAAGAGATGTTTCCCTCTGTAAAATGGGCTGTCTTTCCTGCAGGTTGTGACAGCTGGAGACGTCACACATTCTATGTTTTTATTCTTTTAAACAGGTATTACCAAGACCTCACCTTAAAGATGAGGAAATATGCAAAAGTTAAATGGCCAGACAGGGCTGTGTGATTCCTTCCCCCCTCCCTTCCATCTGCAGAGAGAGAGAGAGAGAGAGAGAGAGAGAGAGAGAGAGAGAGAGAGAGAGAGAGAGAGAGAGAGAGAGACTGAAAACTAACAAAACTGTGGCAGGAGAGAGAAGCTCACGGGCAGAGAGAGGCATCAAGATTAGCAGGTAATAGAAACCAAGTTGCAGAGGAAAGACCAGAAACCCCAATCAAGGGAGTGTGGAAGGGGCAGGGCTTGTTTAAGGAAAGCCCGGAGAAGGCAGGTCAGCACTAAGGGTCAGAACTGTCTTGACTCAGGGCTATGGAGCCTTCGGAGCATCTCCTATCTCTGTGCTGGAAAGTGGTTTTCTCTCTTTTGTCTCTGCTTCTACCACTATTCGTCCACCTCTATCCAGTTCTTTGTTCTAGAACATAAGACCTTGGGAATGTGAGCTAGTGGCCTCCAGACTCCAATATCTGCTGCCCAGACAATATGACTGACTTGTGCCCATGATGGAGTACTACCCCTGTCCAGGCAGGCAGTCTTGCTGGAAGGGCTGTGGGCCCTACAAGAAGAGTACCACCTATGCCACACCCTTAGATCCTGGAGAAGGTCCCTCATGTCAACGGCTCTGAAGGCCTCTCAACCCAGGGTTAAATGTCTTCCTCACCTGGACACAAGAGTGGCAAGAACATGGTGCTGGTAAGGCCTGCAGGAAGTCAGAGAGCAGTGGTGTGACAAGGTCTCGTTTTTGTTCACGAGTCCCCTAGGATGCTGTAGTTGTGGCCTGAAGTCCTGGGGCAGACTCAGAAGGCAAAGGGATGGTCCCTAGCTGCACAGGAGAAACAGACGGTGGAAAGCCAGCCAAGCCTCTGCACCGTCAGCACATTCTTGGGGCAATGTATTGCAAAGCCTCCTTGACTTCACTTTCTAAGTGAGAACGAGGGCCTCACTGCCCCAGCAGGGTCGTGCCCGGGTCACTGACTAGGGCTGCAGGCTTTGGGGTCTGGGGAGGCCTTGGCACTTTGCCAGCCATGGTTTGCCTCTGCTGAGGCAGGCCTTCTCACCTTGCCTGGCCTCCTTGCCCAGAGCACCAGCCCTGGCTTGTATTCTCCTGATGATGGGGGGTTTGCTAGTGTCTTCAGCTGGGGAAGGCCTTTTTCAGGTACACTTGGTTTAAAGGACCAGCTGTGTGCCTTTGCTGGGGAAGAGAGAGCTAGTGAAAATAACAGTCTGCGAGGAGGGAGGTGCTATCTCCTCGTGGATTGAGAATGGATGGGGGGGGAAGCAAGGCTCCATCCTACGGTACAGGTGAGCAGAGCTGCCACAGAGGATCGGCACAAAGGTGACAGGGAGCCATAGAGGTCTTCCATTTAGGCTCATCCTCTGTCCTTCACAAGGCACGGCACAGTCCAGCAGTGAAGAACCCCGGCTCCCGTCTCAGAACTCTTCTGCTGGGAAGTTGTACAAAGGATGATAGGTGAGGGCCTCTAGGAATCAGGGCTCCACCTGGGCCCGACTTCCATACACAGAGGGCACTGACAAGAGTCCATAGACACCCCCTCTCTGTTGGGAGCATCTCAGATGTTTGTTAATGTGGATAACTTTCAGGAAATCCCAGACAATGGGTCCATTCTGGTCCTGGAAGGCAGGCTGGCAACGCCCTCATCCTTCCCGAGCCCAGAATTTCTTCTGGGAACTCGTACCAATCTTACAGGGTTGCCATGAGTCATGACACACAGTGGGTCACTCCGCATACTAGGACACTTGGACAAGGACCCTCCCCCCCTTCCAGGCTGGGAGCAGGATCAAGGAATACAGGGAAAGGGAAGCATTGATTCCCCCACAATCCTTACTGTAACTTGGAGAGATGGTGCATCCGGCTTGCTCCACCTTCACTTAGAGAGGCAGTGTTAGGGCCAACCTACCTCTACACAACTGATAGCCATAAACTAATTTTCCCCACTGCAGGGCTGTGGGGAAAGGACTGACGAGGGTTCCAGCGCATTGCAACATCGTGCAGGCTAGATTCTGAACTGCAGCAATCCCACCGCCACTGCCACCCACCCAGCAATCTGACTGCCACCTATGCATGGATGGGGCTGCCAAGTCTGCTTTAAAAAGGAGGAAGTTGGGACTCAGAACGATGCAGCAGCCTGCCCAGGAACAAAGATCATCGGGCAGACAGTGGAAGCTGCACTTGAAACCCACGTCTACCTGACTCCTAAGGCCACGCCTTATCTAGTCCTGAACTCAAATTCATTGCCAGCAGAAGACACCGGGCAGAGAAGGGCTGTGTAGGAGAGAGGCCCCAGAAACCAGGAAGCTGAGAACAGGTGCAGGATGAATTACTGAGGGTGACATTTGAGGCTCCCGGCCCTTTAGTAGTTCCCCTCCTGTTCGTTCCATTGTTCCTGGCCCTGAGTGGCCTGCAGAGAGGCTAAGCATGAGCAGTTACCACAGCAGCACATCATAAACAGTCTGTAAAAGGCACAGGGAGTCCAGCTCACACCCTTCCCGTGCCAGGCAAGGCCCCCAGCACCCGTGATTAGGAATGGCTGCCTACTGGAAGAGGCCAGGCTGACCGGCACCGATGCTGTCCTCATCACATACCCTATGAGGAAACTGAGTGGCCAGCCCAGTGTTACCCCAGAAGTGGCTTTTCCAAGGCTGCTGAGTGAGTGGGGGAGCTGTAGCAGGAGAGAACATTACTGTCTTCATGTTCACCTCTCACACACCTCAGGGTTCTGAAAAATCAATTTAGAAGCCAGGCTCAGTGGCAGATACTTTTAATCCCAGTAGTGGGTAAGCAGAGACAAACAATCTCTGGGGCTCACTGGCCGGCCAGCCTAGCCTACTAAGCATGCTCCAGGCGGATGAGAAAGCCTGACTCATAAAACAAGGTGGATGTCTCCTGAAGAACGACACCCGGGCCTGACCTCTGACTTTCATACCTCCCCCCCTCCCCGACACGCACACATATGTACATGCACACACAGATGTGCCTGTGCCCACCAAACACAAACCCAATTTACTACTCACAGGTTCTCTGAGGCCTCTGGTCTTTCATACAAAGCTGAAGTTTCTCCTACCACACTACCACTGGGTGGGCACCCACCTAAGCTGAGTGTCTTTTGTTGTGGGTTTGCATAAATGAATTTATAGCTCTCTGGGATTGAAGTGTGAGGCCTGCAAGGGCTCCTGGAGAGAGCTCTTGATACCCAGCTTGTTCAGAAAGACGGCGTGTTACCGCTATCCACGCTTTCTTCCTCAGTGTGCAGTTGGTCGGGATGAAGCTGCGGATTTCCCTGCATGTATCTGACTTCTTCATTTCCCAAGGAAAGGAGATTCTCCGGGGTTGTAACAGTGTGAGGACCTTGGACTGGGAGTCAGGGGCCAGGATGCAGGTTCTGCCTCCCGTAAGTTAACATTCTGGGTGGCGTGGGGCAAGCCCCTACCCTCACTGGCTTTGGTGTCTTGTCTAGTAGGGAAAAGTCAGAGACTCCTCCAGCATGGGAATCCTGGTGCTCAGCTGTAGTAATAGGAGCGGTGGGGCTGCGTCCCCGGCACCCGGCCGCCCACATTACCCGAAATAATTACACGGAAATTCCCGAGGCCAGCCTGCCCCCAATGGGCTGGCTTATCCCTACACTCAGCACATGGTAGAGGCTCATGGGATATCTAGTCTCACACCAGCAATGATTCTCAGCAAGGTGAGTGAGGTCCCAAACTTTTGCTGAGACTTGGTAGGGACACCAGATTGTATTCTGTGTTCCTTGAAGTGACCTGTGGTGGGCTCCATCCACCATCCAGAGCCAGAGCAGGAGGCCTGGGCCGGAACACTGGCAATAGGCTACATTGTGATAGGAGGAGACGAAAGAACAGTTTAATCTTGCTGTCAAGTTTGGTTGTGACTTCATTCATGGCACACAATTTACTTAAAATAAACCTAACTCATATTATAGATTTTATGTAATCTATTTTAAAACAAGAACATAAAGAGAGATTAGCATCTGAGATGCTTGTGTTGCGGTAGAAACACTTTCGGAATTCAAATGCCCTTGAGAAATACCGGGTGGAGGAGAGATCCTTTAGGAGCCCCCAGAAAGGATTCGGGCAAGACCCTGAGTGTTATGTTCCTGTAGGCAACCCTCACATGCTGGGAAACTGGGCAACACTGAGGAAAGCGTGGACCTTCTCTGTCAGAGTCCTGCTTTGTCAGTGGGTTCAAGCTTCCTGCAAGAGGGGATGGGGAGGCTGTGTCTACAGGATGGTGAGGAGAGCATTCCAGGGGCTCCCGCTAGGACTGCTCAGTAGGCTTGGTCCTCTTTGATTCTACCCACCTCAGCAGGCTTCCCAGCGTTAGCCTCCAGCTGGTAGGACACGTGAAGCAAAAAGCACCAGCAGATTCTCCCGAGGCTGACTAGGGGGTGCAGAACTGGGAGAAGATCAGGGAATCGTGTGGGGAGCACCAAGGATGGGTTTGAGTTCCCTGACCACCAGTCAGCGTCTGCACCTGCTCTGCCTGCAGTGGGACCACCTGGCTCCAGTGCCCAACTCACTATCTCTATAGCGCACAGGGCAAGTTCCTGAGTCATTATAGGGGCTTAGATTGCAGTGACACATAGGATCTGGGTAGAGGCAGCCAAAGGAGCTGCTGAAGAAGGCAGAAACTTGAAGGAAGCATTTTCCTTCCCTCGAGGCACCGCCCTGTCTTCTCTGTGCTGTGATTGAGGTTTTCCAGTCCTGAGGAAGCAGTAGGCAACCTGAATGGGGATTGTCCAGAAAATCACTCCTACAGTCCCTCTCGGTGTTCTGAGAACAGGAGCTGGGGCCCAGGAAGGTGCAGCCACCTATATTTTGGCTACAGTGAGACATGCCTTCCCCCCTTTATTAATAGGGAGGATTAAATAAAATGGTCACACTAGGCCATCACCATTGGGAACAGCCACTTCAAACATCAACTAAGTGAGCTGAGACATTAGAGCTTGAGGAGGTAGGTAGTACAACAACCCAGGCCACATAACTGTCCATCCCCAGGCTTATGATCTTGAACTGGGAGCCTCAGTGTCCTCATGTTAACTTGGGGACAACGAGACTTTCCTTGCTTCCCCGAGATAAGAGCTCAAATGTGTACTTAAGGACTCAGTGCAGGGGCACACACAGTAGGTGTGATTAAATGGTAGATGATCCCTTCTGTCTGTGTGCCTTCAAGGTTCAGTTTGTACTCTTGTGTTTCCACCACCACGGGGTAGCGGTTTCCCATTTCCTGGTTGTCTCTGGAGTCCTGAAGTCTTCCAAAAATAGACCCCTGGATTGAAAGTTTCCTAAGTCTGTTAACTCCAACCAGAAGATAAGGGTCGGTGTCTTAAGATATAACTTAGCCCCCAGAACATGGGAGCAGCACTGGCAGATGGCACAGGGGCTATCCACAGCCTTTGAGGGACATGGAAGGGGCCCTCAGTGAACGGTTCCCCTTGTGGTCCAAGTGTGCAGAGGGCAGAGGTCACACCCCCTCGTCCACAGCTTCTGTTTGTATGGCTCCTGGTCAGGACAGGGCTTCCTGTCCTCAGACTCTCCTGGGAGCAGGAGTCCAGTCTTTCCTAGTGGACTAGGAAATAGACTTTGAATGTCATCCAACAACAAAATGAGTTTTGAAGCCAAGTACTTGTACCTTAGAGAGAGCGTCAGCCATACATACAAGTGCGGTCGAGAAGGGACTCGTCACAAAGATGTAGGCTAGGCAGGGCCAGCACTTAGACCCCCCTTCACTGCTTCCTGAGTCACAGCAGGCTGCCTTGGTCCTGTATGTGTGGGTGCGTACACACGTGTGTGTA